TGGATTCCCACCCGAACAAGTTCAAAAGTCGAGGCTTGGAGCTTGATGAACTGGTGATTGGTTCTCCAATAACGATTGTTCTTCGCCGCTGCAACTCCTCCGCTCTCCTTTTGCTGTGATGGTGGTGAATTGTGATCACCATCGCCAACGTTGCCACCAGCGTGAGAATGATTGCGATCGCAACGCACCAAAACACCGCGTATCCTTGTAGATTGTCTCCTTTGTCGTCTTTATGATCATTTTCGCTAGGATTTCTATGATCTGCTGTACTCAACCCGGAACAATCACTGCCACCGACGACGTATATCCAGCTCGGTAATTCGCATACTTGGACAAACACGCAGCGCTCAGTCCCGTAGACGAAGCCTCCGTTAGCGAGCTGGTATTCATCCAACAGAACGTCGTTGGCCTCACAGTACGTTGTGTTTGCTGCTGGAAATTCCAACTCGATGTGGATATCTATCAGATTGCGCGGTGGTTGCGTCGCTTTCTGACTGTTGCTAGAGCTTCTACCATTGCTAGATTCCTTGTTATCCATTGGAGATGACACCACTCGGAAATCTACCGAGACGTCGTAGTTGCCTACAATGGAGACACATCGTCCTACCTCGTTGATCATGCAGCCGTCCGGTTCCTTGTTGAGCTCAGAGTTGAGGCAGTCGTAACAAGTACGAGGTGCTCGACAGCCTCCTATATCCGCTGGGTAATACGAGCAGGTTCCTTGTGTTCGGTCGTCATTCGGAGGATGTGACGATGTCTGTACTCGACGACGAAGACCGGAACGAACCGATCCAGTTTTTCCAGTGGGCGATGGCATCGCTTCAGCGGTTTGCTAATGTCTTATGCGTGGCGCAATGAGAAGGAGAAGGGCTCCATTGCGACGGTGGTTTCGAGTCGATTGCTGCACGTACGTCGGAAATAAATCCTTCCGACGTTTTGAAAGCCACTTCAACGTCATGCACACGACTAGTCAGAAGGCAGCGCTAATAGGTTTTCAGACCCTTTCGCACCAAAGCTCGCACTTGCACTAAAGACGATCACAGCGATCATCGCAAGTGGCTACTAACCAGTCACAGGGTTGTTTTTCTCCTGCTCCGTTGCCGGACAGCAAAAGATAGTTTTTGCCGTCGAAGGCGAGTTGCACTGGTACGTCTTTCTCATGCACACAACAGTGTGGGCTTTCGAACAGCAGATCGGAGGCTGCTTTCCTCCCACGCTTCTACGTCAACGTAGCAGCCGGCAGCCAACAGGCTTCGGCACAACATGTTTTAGCTCTCATGAAACTTTGGTCATCACCATCGGCAGTTCATACTTAGCTGGAAATCGCAGATGGAAAGCTTCTGCCACATTTTGAAAATTGCAAAATGGCACTTCGATTTTCCTGTCCCAGGAGTGGTCAAAACTGAATCCGGGCTAGGTCTTTACCGATTTTTTTTTTTTTGTCTGGCTCGAATAAAACCGATGCCCCTCCCCTCTCAAGGACGGAAGGACGGTCGCCACTCTACCTTTGCCAGACGGAAGGACGGTCGCCACTCTACCTTTGCCAGGCTACGAGAAGAAGTGTTGCTGCAACAGGTTAACCTCTTCTAGGCGTGGCAACAGCACTGCGAAGGATGTCGTGGTCAGCGGAGAACCAGGGCTCCAACGCGGACGACATCACGTTTCCTCCCAGCCAAACGTCCGCGCCGTCGATCAATTTGGCCTCGACAGGTGCGGCCCAGACCAGCGAATCGAACGACAGTGGACCCCCGCCAAACTCGAACAACGGCGAGGACGAGGCCCGACGCGAGGAGGACCTCAACTACCGACGCACACACGGCTCGTGCATGTACTACCCGACGGACGACCGCCATCCGTGCCAGCTCCAGCGGTCGTGCTACGATTGCCTCAACTTTAACATCACCACGGAGCCCGATGGATGTTTCGTCAACCCCATGGGCCAGTGTGTTTCAATGTCACAATACGATCCTGCCATGGATTTCCGCCAGGGAACCCCTTCGAACCAACTCGCAGCGGAATTTGTCACTGCCGGATACAATGGCACAAGTGGCAACAGCTCCGAGCCGACTACCGCAAGTGGCCAAGACGAAAACCAGCAATACGATTTTGTTGCTGGCAATGCCACCTACTGCGAAAACGACGACGCCCAGTGTCTATTATGTCGGGCCACTGCATTTGCCGAAATTATCTATCATCATTCCGATACTTCGCGGTCGAGATACTGTTTCGGACAAAATGGTTGCGTCTGTGTGGCAATTTGCGAGGCACTGCAAGTGAACCACCAAAGGCCGGACAAAAAGTGTATGGTGAACGCTATGAGCACAAATGACAGGGATACTTCAGTGAACCAGTTCGGATCCATTGCCGCCATTTTAGGTGCCATGTGCTTCATCGTGGCTTCCGTTTTTGTCATTTACCGTATCCGGAAACGAGGTGAAAGTTCGGCCTCCGATGGAGAAAATGACCAAACAAGTAGCAACAGATATCACAACCGACGGGGTAGCAATGACGACGATCCAGTGGTCACTCCAGCGGACGGAGCGTCGCCTATTGCAACAGCTACGCCGGTGATGAGAGCAGGATCAGGGTCGGGTCTTGTGCTGAATTTGTTCGGCTGGACGGCTATGAGAGAAGTGGTGATCCAGAAGGAACAGAATCAAGCGGATGGGATTGAGGACGCA